ATTTCATAGAAAATATCTCTTTATTCGAGCTAGCAGATCTTTCAGGAATAAGAAGCAAGTTCAACAACTTATCTTGAGAAAAAAGTACTTAATTCCTAAGTTGGCTATTCCCTGTTTGACGCAGTGAGCTACTTATGTGTGTGCTCTAAGAGTAGTACTGAATGGAAGATAACTAACATCGTTGATATGGCGCATCCACTAGGCGATATCTGATCCGCGGCCCGCGATGCGGCCGTTCTGACCAGGGATTTGTGCGCAATTCGATCAGTAACCAATCCGAGTCACTTTCGAAACGCATTCCGATCAAGCTGTCACGAGTAGTACACGGGATCCTGAAAATGGGTTTTTTAAGCTTCTAGTATTTTAGGAGCTGAAAGGATCTCGTTATCATTAACAGTACAGCACATGGCTTTGTGCAAACCTCAGAAAGGCACAAAGGTTGTGAAGGTGAGAAAGAATGTATTCAGAACTTCTTCCGTATTCGGTTTCTATGACCGAAATCAGCTGGCCACCCTACCAGTGATACAAAGTGCCCTCACCCAGACAGCTGGACCTGATCTAGAAGATAAATGCTGAAGTGCTCCAAAGTCAAAAACAACTAAACCATTTTAAACTTTCTAACTGCTATTCTTCAGTGAGAGTCAAAATTCAAGCCCTTCTTCCAGTGGAAGATACAGTTGCTCAGGATTACCCCCAGGACAGCAAATGGAACCTCGCTGAAGGGACTGCCAATGGCTCCCTCTTTCAAGAAGTGATGGTGGTTTTGGTTTACCGGTACAAATATGTTAAACTTTTTCAGTAGAATTTTGGGAAAAAAGAGGTAAACATGTTTTGTTGAAAAGCTAGTAAATGAGGCGTGCTAGAAGAACCAAGAAAAGCGCTGCGGAGACTTTCCCTGCCACACAGTAAGTACTTCTCTTCTTTCGGGCGATTCGAAGATGCGCGACATCCACGGACTCTCAACAAACAAAGTTTGCTCCTCAAATTCCTTACACTGGATTCTTTTTTCTTGAAAAAATAAAAACGGAATTCAGATATCAAAAATATGTATGTTAGGCAGTCTGCAGAAATAAAAAATACTAAAACAGAAATAGAGAAAAGTACAAGTATAAAATATGTACTTTTTTAAAAAAATATAGAGTTTAAAGAAAATTTATCCCGTGCCTCTTAAAAAGC